ATTTTTGGTGAAATACCCATCAGTCCCAAGGGCTCAGTAGACTGGGCGTTTCCCTCTCTGTTCCATCATGCTCTCTTGTTAATACCTTTTTCGTTTTCCTTGCTTCAGAGGACAGCTCTGGCGGTTTGTACCAGTCTTTATTGGTTACGTTTAACAACAGCTTCATGTCGCCCACACGAATTGCCGCAGTGTCTCCGTCAATATTGTGAAGAATCTCTGTTCTTTCTGATGCGGCTCCTTCAGAAATTGCGGACCATATGTTGTAGCCATCCAGCGCTGAACTATCAGAATCCTCTTCTATGCCTTACAAGGAACAAGAAGCAAGGTTAATAGCGTTTTGGTTTTCTACTAATTAAAAATGGACAATTAACAACTCTTACAGAGCACTTCAGTGATCTAAAGGAGTGACGTGATCTAAGTATTTGTAACAATCAATGGGGGCAAACCTGCAAGATAGAGGAGGGTTGGGTACCAGTCAGTCACGTGAAAAAGCTCATTGCACGTGACTCCAGTCCTCTGCAGCATATTTCCATGAACAAAAGCCACTCCTCTGACCCCTCCCTCCCAGAGGTTTCCTTTTTCACCACGAAGAGGCCAGTTGTAACCACCATCATCAGGTGCCCCGCCATTATCAGTAGTCACAATCAACAAAGTGTTGTCCCATAAACTAAACAAAACTGTAAAGCAAAACGAATAATCTAAGTGACACATAAGAAGGTACTACTAACACGGCGAATACAAAAGGAGCTAAGAATGGATATTCTTGAAGAGATTAACGGACTGCAATTGTGGATTTTGGAAACTTGATAGCATATCAGATTTTCAAAGTTCATTTTTGTTGTTTGTAACGTTTCATATAATACTTGGGATAAATATTTGTTTGACACGAAGCGGTGATTTAGTCATTAACAAGTTATTTCTCAAGTATTGGCTTAGGTTCAATATTTTAAGCCCTAGAAGAGACCATACTAGAACAGGCAATCAAATAAGCGCTATAGTGATTTTAATTCCGCTAAAAATGTTGACACCGACACTGTCACATAGCGAGCCGCAAGCCCTAGCGACCGAAATATGGGGGAAAATCTGTCCCCCATCTGACCAGGAAACCATTGTTTAAATTCAGCCAAGCATAGACCGTTGAAAGCTTGAAACCATACTTGAGCTGAAATGCCAATCTCCTTTCGTGAGTTCCTATGAAGCTTTATTCGACATATCTTTCAACGGATCATTTTAGCAGACACTACAGAAATAATAAAGCTGAGCTGATGAGACGAACACAACTAAAGAAAAGAACCTGATGAAATAAAAATCACTCCGAAACAGTGCATCACTCGGAAAACTTGTGGCGGTGTAGAGGAGTTTTGCACAAATTATCAAACCGGGGATACCTCAGAATCGATATGCATTTATTTACCACAAATGAGCGAAGAGCAGCGATTTAAAAAAATTTAATTGAATTTAAACTACAAATTTAAATAATTTTGATTGTAGCTTTTTCTGGGGAGCAGAATTTAAAGCTGGACTATTCCCGTTTTTTGAGAAAAGGCCGGTGAAGTATTCTATTTATCCTGTTCGCGGCGTAAAAAGGTTCTATAGTTTTCTTATAATACAAACTTGCAAGGTCACCTATATGATGTTCATTAATTATGACTGAAACCATTTATTTCGTTCAAAACGGACTTGCGAGCCATAACCAATGAAAACCAAGTTCCCTTGCACTACGCGAAGGCGACACACCCGATCGCTTGCTTTTTCAGGCGACTCACCCAAAAGAGCACGTGCAGACAGAACATTGGTCATTGTTTTGAATCCGAAGAATAAGTTCAATTGCGAATTTTACAGAGTTTAGTTGAAATACAATTTTAGCAATCCCCAAACAAAAGAAAAATATATTTGGCAAGACGTTTTCCAAAACTATTTTTCAAGCTTGCTAAGCCGTCTCGTTCTTTACAGAAAGATTCATTTGATGTACAAGTTTTACAAAGTCTTCTTGCACTAAGCGAAGGCGACTCACCCGATCGCTCGCTTTTAATCAGGCGACACACCCAACATAAAAAGCACGTACAAAATACCCTGAACCATGTACATTTTATGAATCTGTTTTTCGGTGAATTAAAGCTCTCTGTTCGTGAAAAATAATAGAGACCGTTCGTAGAATGGTGTTTTTTTGAAAAACAAATAGGGGGAAACTGCGATGGATGCAACCAATCAACTCAAATTCATTTCGATTCCACTGTAAAAATTATAGAAAAGAAAAAGAAAGCTGCTAAGATTCAGAGACTTACAAATAACGAGCAACACTCAACCCCCTCTCTGTGAAGTACATTTACGACGGTAGGGGTATGGGAAACACGAGCGTGTGTTATTTTTAACGCGTTAGTCGCTCATTTCATTGTTGATCAAAATCAAAAGTTTTTGTGAGGGTTATACTTCGGATAGCCCTTATTTATGGTTTTGCTGCACAATTTGCTACCAGTGGGAGTCAGTTGGCCTATCTGATATACTAGGAAAACTATTATTTTCATAGGTTGAGAAAGCATGCAACAATGCAAACGCAGTAATTACTGCCTTGTTGTGCTAAGATCGAGTATTTTAACTATTATTTCTTATAGACTATAAGATAATTTTCGCATTAATTCAAACAAAGATCTGAGCATGAAGCGACAACTATAAACAGGGGCACCCAAAGGCAATTTTCGGGAAAATATCTGTTGGGAAGACGATTTGAGATCTAGAATTTTCGGAGCATTTGTTGTAAAATTTCTTGCTTGCCTGCCTCTCCTAGGATTTTCGAACATCTACAAAATGGTATAATTACCCATTTTTAACGGATTTTGACCCTAAAAAAGGCCACCTAGAAGTTTCGGGAGCCTTTTCCTGGCTGAAATTTTCGAGAAGGTAAGTTTTTATCCCTATAATTTTCGGATCACTAGACTTTCAGCTAGGAAATCCGAACAGATGAAAAGTTTTTAGGGGATAAAAATATGCCTATATCTACCGTTTGAATACTAAAATACGTTCAACAATGCTTTGTTAAGTGATTTTGAACTATATCCTCGCTGGGTGCCCCTGTATAAATCGCACTGGATCATGATGTAGCATTTAAACGTAGGCAACAAGCAAAACAGTTGTAAAAAGATCAAATATCTAGCAATTTGGCCGCTACGTGTGTACTTGTATTATGAAACACGGATGTCTATAATTTTCAACACATTCCATTGTTTATCAAGAAAATGTAGCACAAAATTGATAACGCTTTTCGACTTCTTTACAAGGGTACTTTTTGTAACACAAAATTGCTTCCAGTTGAAGGTGTGCTGGACCTGTTTCTCCCTAAACACTGTTCGATCACTCCCGAGCGCGCTACATTAAATTTGGCGGGCATTTAGGAGGTTTTAGCGCGGATATGTTCGAGGCAGAAATAAATAAACTAAAGGAAAAAATTCGAACACTGTCCTTACCTTCAAGGAGTCTTACGATTAAGCAAGTCATAAAAAAACCAGAATTAATGTGTCGCAAGGTAAACCTACTGATCTAAGGCTGAATTGGCCTCCCTTTTGAACCAATGTGACGAAGGAAGGCTGGCCATGTCAGTTTGAACTCTCCTAACCTGTCCGATCTGTTAAAATTTTCTTTCAAATACCAACAGCTTCTAAGGGAAAGGATTTTGAATCAACACAGAAATTCTCGACCGCGATACGGTGAAAAAGAATTCAATTCACATATACTCCATACAATGATCGCTTGATCGGGATGATCTGATTCGGAGAATAGTTGCAAATTAAAGACCGCACTCGACTATATTTACCCCGGCTACTACTGTTTTAACCATATTAACAGACGGTTGCGAAATTTAGGATTGTTTCATCGCCTCTGTGAAAATCACTATCGATGACAGCCAGTCTGTCCACAGGGTCCAGAGGAGATATGTTTGTCGTTAGAACATCAAAGCCCGTCGAAAACCTCGAAAAAATGGGTTATTTTGATCGCGTTACAGTTTCGTTACACATTATATAGACCGCAAACCAAGAGACTGAGGGCTCGCAAGATCGGCTTTTTCGGCACTTCGGGCGACGTGCCGTGCGCCGGCGAGGATATGGCTTGCGGTCATCGATTTTCAAAAGTCGATCATCGTTTATATATTACAGTAGATTTATAAAGATGCCATTGGGCCAATTAATCGTGCTAAGCGACACTGGTATAGACATTTTTCAAGGTGAGACTTAAAATAAGTAATTCATTTATTCACACGAAACCCCTCTGGACCCTGTGGTCTGTCTCCTGCTAACATACACGAGATCGAAGGTAAAATTGTAACAGGAATTTGAGCATAGCAACCGTCACTCAACGTAATTAGTAAACTTAAGGGACTTTATGCGGCTCCTCATGTTCAACACAGTTTGGTCACTTTTGCCTCAAGGACAAATTTAACGAACACAGACGTCCAGTCGACAAAACTAACATTAAATCTAAACCCACTAATGTTTCTGAACACCTTCTCTCTCACTCTGACCATTCTCACACTGACATGCAGTTAGTCTCATTAGGGAAAATTCATTCTTCACGTGACTCGGTCCGTAAGGCGAGGGAGTCACATTGGATAGATAAGGCCATGACTAATGGCCTAAACTGCCGTGACGAATCATTGTAATCCACATCCTTATTAGTTTTTCTTTTCTTTCTACGTTGTACTTCATTTCCACCTCTCCCTTTTCAACAATGGTTATTGCAACATTTCTATCTATATACTGAATACACTGTATTGTAATTCCTATCAAAAATTCAGTAACATCTGTAAACCTGAAGAAGGCTGGTATGGCCAGCCGAAATATTGTTATGAAAAAAACAAAACACGTTGCTGTGATCAGCTTTGTAGTGGTTTTTGGACTTCTAGTTTTTTGGATATTTTAGCTGATTAGATCTTTTTTCTAGAGATCCAACGTTTACAACCAGCGGGATCTTCGTCCACGGTTTTTGCACAGTTAGTTTCTTTATCACTTTTATATGGCGATTTCGTTCCGCACAAACCTAAGTTGTATCTGTGAGGGTAAAAAATATTTGCTTTTAATGAAAAACTTCCAAAGTGAGACCAACATTTAGCGATTTACACCCCTTATCGGAATGACAAGTAAAGGGTTCCCCCAGGGATTAATATCGTATTTCCTTTTGTTTCTCCCCTGGAATTTACTTATCATCTCTGCTTCCGTACCCCTAAGGGCTTATTACGAATGGGTACTTCAAATTCTTATGGGTGCCGTAATGTAATTTTGATGTCAAATAAATGGATGTGTTTATTTGACAGGTCTAGATCTCTACTTATTATCTACTAACCCAGCTGTCTTCATAGCCTCTGTTATATTTCCTATTGCTTCATCAACATTTTCAACCATTCCTGCATAGATTTTTCTGTCATCATCTGTGATGTTTTCGTACTTTTCCGTGTACTCGGTGGGAACTTCCAGAGGAGTATGGACGCTTTGAAATGGTAGATATAAAAACAATGGTGTCGAGGCATTGTGGGATTCAATAACCTTCTGTGCTTGCTGCAAATAAAAAGGGCTCGAAATTGACATCCACTTTACTGTGTTGGGGCCAGGTCAAGATAAAATATGTATTCATATCTATTAAATTCTATTATTCTATCTATTAACTTTCATGTATTGGAACTGTTTCCTGTCCTGTTCCTTAATGTTTTCCTCTCCTGACTAATCAACAATAATATCTTGTCAAGTGAAGAATGATCCTGGCAGTTGTGAACGCAATTTATGCAATTGCGTAAGAGAAGCCTCAAAAAAATTCAGGACTTCAACGGGATTTGAACCCGTGACCTCGCGATGCAGAACATATGACCTGCTCCCAACATCAGTGGCTTCATAGCTTAGTTGGTTAAAGCGTCGCAATGGTATCGCTAGGTCACGGGTACAAATCACGTGGAAGTCGTGAATTTTTTTCGGGCTTCTCTTACGCAATTGCATAAAGTGCGTTCAGAACTGCGAGGACCATTCTTCACTTGATTTCATTTCCGCAGCTCTCATACATTTGTCACAAAAAAAAAAATGACAGTCGACAGTCAAGATCCAGAAGATTTTTTTGCGGTAAAAAGTACTACATTTCTTTTCTCCGTATGATCAGGTAGGTGAAATAGCTAAACGAAAAAATAATAAGAATAAATAAGAATCTATTGTTATTCCAAACCTCAGCGTAAAGATACGTAGAATAAACTCCGTCTTTATTTTCTACAGGCGTTTCGTTATCATGTAGGTCAAGAATTCCGGCTGTCTCGTGTGTGTAATGATCTCCAGCGCCAAGGTATATGCCATAAAATGAATCGAAGCCACGGTATAGTGGAGTGTATGACCAGCTACAGAATCCCAGATGCCACTTTCCTATCATATGTGTAGAATATCCTGTTGTGAAATAAAAATGAGTGCATTTTAAAGCTTTTGAAATATAGTTTTTAGTGGAGCCCAAAGACAGTACATCTAGGCGGGTTGTAGAACCTGCAACAGGACCCCTCAGCTAAAAATGTAAAAACAAGTGTATAAAATTGAATCCTACAAACAAGTATCTACAAAAAATCCTACAAACAAGAAATGGGATCCTTTGGTCCCACTCTTCAATGGTAATTGTTAAAATTTAATTGGCAAATGTATATTTGTTCCCAAGTTACCAGCTAAAATCAGTGATTGCCTGTGTGTTCATGCGTAAAGATGGCCCCGGGTCGGAAAAGCATTACACAGCCATATTTCGTCGATATTTGTTACACCCTGAAACAGCTTAACTTCGCTTTTACTAAGTGAATACATACGAGAAACTTACGGGTTATATAGGGATACATGCAGGCAACATACGGATCCTAGCCTGCGTCGCAGACTCTCTAAACCTTCTATATAGACTATAAACTGACTGTACAAATGGTTTAGACGAGTGCGTGGGCCGGCTGCAACGCAGGATAACGGATGCATACGATTGTCAAGTGAGTAACATACGGAAACATTTGAATGCCTTTTCTATCTTTTTAAACAATGTTGAGAAATGTAGCTTTAAAAAACCATGCAAAGATGTATTTATAACAAATTTTAATAATGTCTCAAATGCAACCTGAGTGAATCATTCCATTTAGCGCAAGGTAGCGCAAAACATTTTTTCCCTTATATTCGCATGTCACTCGTATGTAACAACAGATTAATTAGTTTTCTGCTAGCAGATAGCTGACTAATTCCAATAACAATTATATCAATTCATCCTTGCGACAGTGTGTTTCTCGTTTTTTCTTCGAAGCGATGTATAATAAAACTATTATTAGATTCGGTTTTTGTGATATCCTAAATAATCAAGGAATAACCTTGATTACTCCGGATATCACAAAAACCTCATCCACTATTTTTTTTTTTAGTCACGCTGCGCGTCCGTCCGATCAGATACAGACCAAATTGCACTTCACTCAGTTCAATCCAATAACCATTAACTTGCAAAACGATTGATATCGATTAGATCGGG